CCACCTGAATTAGATGATTCAACCAAAAAAAAAAAAAAACCAAGTCAGCATCAAATAGAAAACTTCACCATCACAGGTAACATGTTCACTGTTGACCATAAATTCCCTGACGCTATTATTAACTTGTGGTATGAAAGAATCCTCCATCAACAAAGACCTAAAATACGACAACAGACCTTGGTTGGATCAATTATTCCAGCAGCCATTAGGTCTTCGTAATTCCCAGTTGCAGCATTGAAACCGTATCTAGGATTATCACTACAGAGCACCTGCAACAAAACATAAAATTTTAACACCGATAGGCTTAAGGTTTGCATCAACATAATCTGGTCATAATATCACATTTCTTCCCACCTTCTCACTGACCACACTTCCGTTAACACCAGCATTCTTGGCAATTAGTTTCAAAGGATAACTTAGAGCTCTTTTAACAATATCTGCCCCCACCTACAATCAATCAAGGAAACATAAGCAAAGTAGTATCTATGGCATTCTTGATTTCTGCAAAACCTCAAAATCTAGACAGCATTTTCAGATAATCAAACATTCAGAACTACCTTTTCTTCATCATTCTCAAGGCTTTCCTTAATGGCATCCACTTTGGATGCAAGTCTCAGCAGTGTGCATCCACCACCAACAACAATACCTTCCTCAACAGCTGCCTGGAAAACATCAAGATTTCACTCACTTGATTCTACTCCATTTGTGCAAGCATTCCTCTAGGTCGATTTCATTTCAAGAGTAAGGATACTGTTTACTTACCTTCGTTGCATTAAGTGCGTCTTCGACTCTCAATTTCTTCTCCTTAAGTTCTGTCTCAGTTTGTGCTCCAACCTGCGAAAGTTCAGGTCAACAGGAAACAGATCATCAGTGTGATTATCTTTAAAGATCATTCAAACAAATTCTCCATGGTAAGGAGCCTACCTGTATCACCGCAACACCACCTGATAGTTTTGCAATTCTTTCATTAAGCTTTTCCTTCTCATAGTCTTGCTCTGCAGCCTGCACGAATGTAATCATATAATAGGAATCAGCATCACCTTCAAGTGCACTAAATAGCAGCACCAGAAGACGAAAAAAAAAAAAACAAATGTACTTGTTTGAAAGAGATGCCAAGATCCTTACCTCAATAAGATTTCTAATCTGTGCAACACGCTTGCTTACTGCTTCCTGTGTGCTTCCATCACCCACAATGGTTGTATAATCTTTGGTAAGAACAACTTTGGAAGCATGACCCAAGACCTCCTTGCCAGCTTTGTCCAGTGAAAGGCCAACTTCATCTCTAATGACAGTTCCTGAGAACCAAACAAGAGATATCTCAATCATGACTAGCATAAACCAAGAAAAAATTTAGGTAACCAAAAGAAATAAGCACCGTGGAGCACTGTCAGATTTTTGCTAACCTCCAGTTAGAATTGCAATGTCATCAAGGTATTGGCTCTTGCGCTCTCCAAAGCCAGGAGCTTTGAGAGCAGCAATCTTCAAAGAACCTCTAAGCTTGTTCACAACAAGAGTTGCTAAAGCTTCTTGTTCAATATCTTCAGCAATTATCAGAATTGGGTATGCACTTCTAATAGCATCTTCCAGAACATTAATAAGATCCCTTGCATTTGTAATTTTCTTATCAACAAGAAGCAACTGCAACCAAATAGAAAATGCACATTTGTGTGAGAATTAAGGATTAGTCAAATACAAAAAAGCCGCGATATTTTCATTTTTGGCTGTATTGGTTTGGCCTGCCAGGATGATCAGAAGAAAAACAGAACATAGAACTTCAATAACCTCTGAGACTGTACCACTGCAACACATATTCTTGAACTTTGAGACCGTCTTTTCAACTTCCAAATTATTATCATAACTTAAGCATGGTATAGAACTTTATTATACAACAAAAAGAAATAGGCACCCATCCTGACCAAAATGCCAGGGACCCTAGTGGTAGAGGCAAAGGGATCAATCCCCCCCCATGCAGATTCTGTAGTACAAAAGAAAATAAAGAGTTCCCCAAACACAATCATAAAGAAAAAGAAATTTCATTAACAAACCCAGATTAAATTACTAGGCACGGAAAAAAAAAATTATATCTGAAGACATACCTTGCAGTTTTCATATTCAACTGCCATTTTCTCGCTATCAGTCACAAAGTACGGTGAAATATAACCCCGATCAAATTGCATTCCTTCAACAACATAGAGGTTGTTCTCAGCACTTTTACCCTCCTCAAGAGTAACCACGCCCTTCCGACCCACTTTGCTCATTGCTTCAGCTATCATATTCCCAATTTCATCATTGTTTCCTGCACTGACTGCTGCAACATCTGCAAGTTCACTGTCTTCAACCTACAATTCCATGCTACTCTTAGCAAAATTTCGGGCATGACCTTGGTAGTACAAATTATGCAAATTAAAGCAAAGAAAATTATTAATTCCTAGAGCATATAAACCTTAATGAATTATATTTAACATTACCTCCTTTGACATTGACTTTAGCTCAGAGACTAGGGCCTTGGTGGTCTTCTCAATTCCTCTTGTAATCAAAACAGGGTTTGCTCCAGCAGCTACCACCTGAATAATTTCATTTAACTTAGTATTAATACACTTATTTTAGCGTAAAAAAAAAAAAAACAAATGCCCAGGTCACATTTCTAACCTTGACACCTTCAGCAATAAGGCCTTGTGCGAGAACAACAGATGTTGTGGTACCATCACCAGCCAAGTCATTAGTCTTTGCAGCGGCTTGTCTCACTAACTTTGCACCAATGTTCTCAACAGGATCCTCCAACTCAACCTGGAAAAGTAGTTGCAGTATTGCATCAGGATCCTCAAACATGATTTGTTAAGACTATGAGATAAACAGTATAGAAACTACTACATGAGAAATGAGCCTCTAATTGTTTTTTTTTCATGATTCTTGACTCAGCCCCCATTTAAAAACCAATTACCAGTCAGGAGTACATGCATACCTCCTTGGCAACGGTCACACCGTCATTAACAATTTTTGGGGAACCATACTTGCTTTCTAGAACAACATTCCTGCCTTTTGGCCCAAGAGTAACCCCAACTAGATCTGCAAGCTTGTTAACACCAGTCTACAAAGAAGGGACAAGGAAAATGATAAAGTAGATGAGACAAACAAAAAGACCAAGTCAATACAACGCAAGCGGTCAACAAAGCAGCATCATCAAATGGATACTCACCTGAAGCTTCTTGATTGCTGTTCCATCTTTGTTGAAATGCAACTCCTTGGCTGCATAAATTTTGGGAAGTCGAGTTCTCTGTATTACTACATTCCGTCTACCCCCAAAGGGGCTTGAAGAAATGGAAGCCAAAGATGAAAACTTGCTAGAAGAAGAAGCAAGTTTCTTATCCATCACACGGCCGTTGGGGGCAGCCAAGGAGCCAACTGAAGACATGGTAGAGAAAGATGATGCCATTTACTCCCTGAAGGCTGACAACATTTCACCATCATTTTTCGGTTAATTGTCAAGATATAGAAGAAAAACAACAGAAATAACAACATGATAGACATATTCTTTCAATTCCTTGCTCATTAATGACCATGTATCTAGGAAGATTCCTGCTTTATTAAATAGAGAACCACCATCAATCTTAACCCAAAATATGTCATCAGCGTGATTTGTTAACGAGCATATAGCATCATCTCATCTCCGCTACCAACAAAACCTTATGTATAACGACAAAGTTTTTATACACAAAAACATGTATTCATAAATCCGTTGCAAAACTGCTAATTCGAACTCGTAAATTCCGCAATCCTTAAAGAGAAAAATAACTCAGGTCAATTGAAATAAAGTGACTCGAGGATTATCAGTTAGAATTAGGAAATGCTGAGAAAATAACCCAGTATAAGAGTATTGCAAATCGAAACAGTTAGAAATTCGATTGATACGGTGAGGATACACAGATTCAACGATACCTAAAGTCATTAACGTATATAGATAAAACACAACTTACGAAACTACGCCCAAGCAGCTCATGAAAGCACATGAACAGATATCAAAATAGAAACAAATAAAAATCAAGCTGAAAAGAATAAATCTATATCAAAAATCGAAAAGAGGATAAAAGAATACTGTGGAATTTTACCAGCTGAAATGAAGTTTCAGAAGGACTGACGAAACGAGGGAAAACAGTGTCTGCTGGTCGGAGAAGTCGACGCCTACTCGCCTAACAGACGAAAGTTGAGCTCCGATCCAGAGAGCACGCGGCGGAGAAGTATAGAGCGACTAGGGTTTAGCGGAGAGGTTTTTGGATAAGAGAGGTAAGAAACGAGTTAGGTTTATCTTTCACCCTTTCCCTGCTTGCTGTTGCTGAAGGGAGTGTGTGTTTTAAAGAGCAAACGGTATTTCAGGTCTTGAAGGTTCTGATTGATTCTGGGCCGTTGGATTTTGTAGGGACCGTTCTATTTGTCTTACCTCAGAACACTCTAGAACATTTTCTTTTTCTATTTATTTATTTATTTTATGGCGTATATATTGCTTCCCGGTTGAATTTCCCCTCCTCTTTGCTTCAATTTAGGAAATAAATTATTTTTTATATTAACAATAACTTAATTAAGTTTTATTTTATAAAATTTTTCACTCAATTTAAATAAATAAAATATTATATTAGCATTAAATTAATACAAATTTAATAATATTTAGCAAATAATTTCTTCTAATCGAATATTATTTATCATTTTTATATTCGATCTATCCGAAATTTTTAAATTTTTAAAAAAATGTAAATGCTAAAAATAATAAAAATTTAGTGTATGTTCTAAAAATCATGATTTAATATAGAAATAATGTAAAATATAGTCAATTATATGCATCTAAAATTTACCAAATAAATGGACCAATTATTATTTTATTACATGATAATTGGTTAGGTTGGAATTAGTTGCTAAATGTTATTTTTTTTAATAATTTATGCCTTAAAGCTATAAAAATTAGCTGTATAAATGTAAAATATAATTAAATTCATTTGATTTTCTAAAATTACATTTAAAATTTTAATAATTTAAGTAGGATTTTGTATTTTAATAACAAGACAGTAAATCTTCACATCATTTTATAAATTTTACTTTGAATTTCCTTTGGAAAAACTTTGAACATGTGTATTTATATATATGGCTATGACTGTTTCAGATCATGGAATGAAGATACATGTACATATATATATATATATATATATATATGTATGTATCTACTTTGAGTGATCTACTTCCATTACAGAACCAGAAAAAGAGAGGAAAATTCTTCCTCTACTAAATCTCATTTCTAAACCACTGCTAATGGCATTGATCTATCAAAGCTACCTCGCAATGATCTTCCCCTCACCGTCTTCTTCTTCATCTTCCCTTTACCCTCAACCTCTCTCCCTCCTTTCCCACTCCCAAACATCCCTCCCATGCCCGCCGCACCTTCTTTCAAACCCCCGCCATGAACTAACACTCTGCTAATCCCAACATACTGCAGTGACTCCGCAATCTGCGCCGCAGTTGCACCTTTACTGGTTCTCACTTCAACATCAGCTCCCTTCTTCACCAACAACTCCACAACATCTCCATGTCCAGCTTCCACCGCACAGTGTAAAGCCGTATACCCGTCTTCATCCCTCATCTCCATCTCTACCCCTTTATCAATCAAGAATCTCACTGTATCAATTCTCCCCTTGAATGCTGCTCTGTGTAAAGCTGTCCAACCATGCTGGTCACGTCCATTAATGGCGGCACCATTGTTAATCAGCCTCTGGATTGCTCTAACCTCGCCTTTCCTAGCCGCTACACAGAGTCTATCCCCGAGTTTCAACGCGTCGAATAGCTTACTATGGCCGTACTCCGCGGCCATATCATAGGCTGTTTTGCCATACTTGTTGCGGATATCTTTATTAGCAGCTCCTTTCTGAAGCAAGAGCTTGACGATATTGTCGTCACCGAGTCCCGCCGCCGCGTGCAGGGCCGTGTCGCCGTCGCCAGAGTTTTGTAAATCAGGTTTGGCTCCGTTTGCTAATAGCAGACGAACGCAGTCTCTTCTTCTTTCTGCAACGGCAAGATGTAGAGCTGTATTGCCGTCTTTTGTTAAGGAATCAACGTTGGCTCCTTTAAGTAAAAGAAGCCTCAAACAGTCTAAATGACCTCCTGCTGCTGCAAGATGGATTGGGCCAAAAAGGGAAGATTCTGATCGTTCTGTGTTTGCTTTACGAGCCAGTAAGAGCTCGACGATCAAGGTTTCGCCGGACCCAGATGCAGATTCAAGAGGGGTGCAACCTGATCGGTTCTGTAACTCAAAATCCGGCTGGAACTCTAAGAGTAATTGGAAAATATCAGGTCTGCTTTGAGCTATAGCAAGGTGGAGTAAACTATTGCCTTGTGAATCAACTGAGTCAGCTGGGTTCCATGACATGTCACTACGTTCTAGTACTTCTCTGATTTTCTCCATTGAACCGTCCATTACTAACTGAACCAAAATAGGGGAGCCAACAAACATGACCTTGATTCCACTGTCAGTGAAAACTTGTTTCTTCCTGGTTGTGAACCAGTCGTTCGGAACTGATGATGGGTCCTTGACGGCTGCACCGGGGACAACCACGCTGTCCAAGATGAAAGAATCATGGGTTTCAGGGAAGTACTCGGGGAGAGTTTCTTGGGGAAGGTGGTATATTATTTCCACGGTTAGTGTAGCTAGAGGCGCTATGATCCCGGTCTGGGGTTTCACCGTGTAGAGCATCTTGTTAACTGGCTGGAGCCTGAAAGCAACTGGCATGGTGTACATAACGTTGCGGAGAGAGAGACTTCCGCTGCATTTTTTACCTGGTTCTATTCTGATCACCACAAGATTTGATGGCTCCAAGCTTATAAGCCTATCCATGGCTAATGAAAACAATCCCCGCAAGTTTACTTAATATCTTCAAATGGGAGAAAATGATTGATGGGTTTTTCTGGGTTTGGAAGGAAGATGAAAACCCATGAAGGAAAATATGAGAAATGAAGTGGGTTGGTGGATTTTAAGGAAGAAATTATGGAAATGGCCGGCTGTAACTGGAGAGTGACAAGTGGTGTTGTGAAAAACAAAGAAGACTTGTTCTATTCGGCGTCTGAAATGTGTGAAACCCTAGAAGACAGAGAAAGGCAGAAAGTTATTATCGGAGGTGTTTCTGCAAGTCATTTTCATTGTCGATTTCTTACTTTTTTTTTATATTCTATACACAACGAGGCATCTTCTGTCGTTTAAAAATGGGAAGTTTTCTTTTTTAGTATATATATATATATATATATATACAGAGTACTACTACAAAGAAGGAATCATTTTGTTTGCAGAGTATAATTATAGGTCCAATGGGTTAGGCAATCAATAAAATATATGTATATTAGCTATGTTGATGGTATATGTTTTCAGAAGATACCTGCAGTGTGATCATAGGAGGTGCCTGTATGGGATATGTTCTTAATTTTTATACTATAAATATATACAATATGTAGATAATTGATCATAATACAATGCCAATAGCATTTTAAATAAAAAAAAAATCAAAAATTTCTTGTAAAAGAAGAAAAACTTAATAACTATTCAATTAAATTGTTTTTAATTTCTTGGCAGAGATAGTTAGATATGATTAATAAGGTGTATTACTTACTAAGGGTAAAGTTAAAGAAGTACATAGTAGATTAAGGTAAAAAAAAAAAATATATATATATATATATAATATTTAAAGCAGGTATTAATAGATTTAAAATGAATATAAAATATTAAAAACCAAATTCTAATAAATTTCGAATTTTAAATATTAATTTAATAATTTATTTTAAAAAAGTAATATAAACAAAAAACAGATACATAAATGTTAAGTGTATTGAATTTGTAAAGAAATTGATATTCAAGGAATAAATATATATATATATATATATATATTAAACTAATGAGTGAGATATTGGGAAGATTACAGCAGCAACAAATCTTTATCAATTCATTGGTAGTAACAATGAAATAATAATGACAACAGCAAAGCAATCTAAATTCAGATTTTGGTTTTAACTTATTCTCTGTGTTTAAGTTTATTTTAATTTGTTCTTAAATTTATTTTTTCCTTTTTTAAATAAATGAACAAAACATATTTCTCGTGGAGAAAAACGAAATATAATATTTCATTGAAGTTAAATTCTCTTATTTGAATAGTCACGACGGGTTAAAAATTTGACCAATTTTTCTTCGAATTCTCAATTAAAAAAAATTAAATCTACAAATAAATTATATCTTATATTATTAAACCAAACTTAACTTCATAAACATAAAAATAATAATAATAAGGTGACCAACAAGTTAATACTTTGATTAAAAAAAAAAACTAAGTTATATATACAATTTTGGGTACAAACAAAGATCATAAATAAAATATTCTACCAATTTCGATGATACCCATTTTTGGGCATAATTACAAGAGCATTTGCAGGCTAATTATGAATGGATCTTTCAATACTTACAAGAATATATGTGTGGGATCGTTTCTTCTTCCAATTTCATTATGATGAGGAAAGGAAGACAAACTACACCATGTATGTTTACTCTGTCAAAGATGCCATTGGTTTGAGAATAGCTTTACTGTTTCAATTCATCATTTTAAAAATTTAGACCCACTAAAAAAAATGATTCATTATATTATTTATATACTAATATTTGTAGTCATATATATATATATATATATGATTAGTTAAATTGTGTACGAAATTGGGTATGTTAATTATTAATTTATACACAAGTCATTAATAATGGTTGGGATGATAGAGATGTTCTTTTGGGTTATTATTGTTAATTGTTTATTGAAACAAGTAGATATGTGCTGGATTGAAAATCATTTACTTGGCCAACTATAATGACATTGCTAAGCATCACAAGATAATATTTCTAAGTATACAATATATCTAATCTTTCTTACCATTCCAACTTGGTTAATATTTTACCCTCATGATTTTAGTCTTTCACAAGAATGTCCTTCGAGGTAATCTCGAAATCTCTAATGCATTCTCGTGTTCTCTCAATCTCTCTTTAATGTTTTCTCTATAGTCTTATTGATTTGGATATTTACCCCTCTAGGATAAAATTCAATTTCATCTCTTTGTTTTCATCTTGTTAACTTATTGATGATATGACTTATGTAAGCCATTTGTTACTTAGTTCGTCCTTCGTCCAAATTTAGCATCATGTTACTAGAAAAACAAACCTCATCAATATGTTCTAATTCAAATGGTATTGCTAATGTTTTACGTCGTTTAACTTTCTATTTAAAATTAAGTATATCAATATACTCAACCACGATATAAACAAAAATCTAGAATTAAGTATCATTGTAAATGTATAAATTTTTAACAACCAAGAATGAGATTAACCTTGTTATTTAATTATAAAGGAAATAGAAAGCCAAACTTGCAAGTTTCACAATTAATGAAACATCATTTATTCTTAAATCAATTTCCCACCAAATGAAAGAAACAGATAGTTTAAAGGAGCAACTAATAGCAAGTAATCATTTGTTATCGACTGACAATTGCTCATAATGATGAAGAAATTATTTAAAAATTGTACAGATTAAAGAGTTCAAGCATCACAAAAGCAACAATTGATAAGTGCAAATATTAATTAAACAAAAAACAATGTAAGGTTGAATAGAACACCTATCATGTTTGATTTGGGCCGTCCAATCGCGATTAAATAGGGAGTGAATCTGGACCGTTCATCGCGATCCAATCTGGGTCATCCATGCGCGATTCATTCTGGGTTGTCATTGCGCGCGGGAATGGACCTCAGCCGTTCGATTGCGCGTATGTGGATCGCCCACGTGGTTCTCCCCTGCGTGGCCTCCCGCGTTAGCGCCTTTGCCACTTGTCGGGTCCTTGTTGGTTGGAGCTGCTGACCGGGCGTCCGACGTGGTAAAATTTTTTTAAATTGCGTCTTAACTTCCGATTTTCGATTTTTCTTTTAAAAATACCACCCGAACTCAAATTTTCACCCATTTTTTTCAAAATTATTTTCAATTTAATTTTTAATAAATTTTACCTATTTTTTTCATTAAATTAAAATAAAACAAAATATAATAAAATAAATTAAATAAATATATCTTTATATTTATTAATAAAAAATGAAAAAAAAAAATATTCGGGTGTTACAGTTTAAGCATCACAAAAGCAACAAATTGATAGGTTGCAGATATTAATTAAACGAAAAACAACGTAAGGTTGAATCAAATATTTATTACTATTATTTTTTAAAAAGCAAATACGAGCTTTATTTTTCGTTCCACAACATCATGATTGAATCTACAAGAACATTAACACCCTGTTTGGATAAATTTTAGTGATTAGTAATTAATGTATGACAATAACAGTAATTGGATGACAATAATACAGATGAAAATGGTAAATTTTTTTTTTTTTTTAATGTTTGGATAGTTGTGTATTAATGTATGTTTAGACAAGTATTTGTTTGGATGATAGAATGATATAGTTATATTTTTAGTTAAATTACTAATTTACTCATACTTATTATATATAATAGTAAATGATATATAAGAAATATATAATGAAAAAAAATAAATTATATAAAAATATAATTAAATTTGTATTTAAATAAATAATTATTATACATAATCAAATTAAATTTTTATATTTAATAAAATAAATAATAATTATTTATTTTATCACATTAATTTAATTTTAATAAAAATAAAATTATTTATTATTAGAAACAAATAGTTGAAATTATATATTATTATATTAAATCTAAAATTATTTTAATAAATAAAAAATTAAAATGTATTTGAAACAATCACATACCATGAGTTAATTTGAGGAAAAAATACGAGAAATAGAGTATTTATTTAAGAGTGTAATTAAAATTAAGTATATTTTATGAGGATATAACGAGAAAAAAATTACATGACGGTCACATACTACCGATTTGTTGGCAGCTTCCCATTAAATACCAATATCAAAGTTCCTTGTTGGGCCAACAAATTTGGCCCAAAGTGAATGATTGAACATAAAATACCAGACAATCTCATTTGTAAGTTGGGCTTAAGTGTTGTATAAATTCATATTTGATGGCCTTTTTTAGGGTTTGTTTTGGACTTTTTTTATGTTTAAAATCAATATTTCTTCACTTGTTGAATAAAAGGTCAAAACTTAATTTTAGCATTAAAAAGTTAGCCGAGTGAAAAATCATATTAAAAATATAGAATAAATTATCAAATTAGTTTATAAACTTTGATACTTTATTACAATTTGGTTAATAATATTTTTCTTGTTTGGGTCATTGATATTTTTCATGTCTAATTTCATCTATTTCATAAGGAAAGAAAATAAAATAGTTAAAAGTCATGTTTAAAAATATTCTAAAAAATAATTTTGTCTAATTAATTAAATTAAGAAATTAATAACATTCTTTTGAACTATTTTTTATAACATTCAAATACTATGTAATTATTTTAACTTTTTTTTTTGTGTTAAAAAATGTAAAGAAATTGAACATTTGAAACAAATAAAAGATATTAAAAATTAAAAATTAACGAAAAAAACCCAATTGCTTAGTTGGTTATTCATTTAAATTTTGATGAAACGATTAAGAGCTTGTTATAATGACTTCAATGGTAGTTTATTAATAATATATAATAATGACAAATTATTTTTAAAAATTATATATTATAATAAAATTAAATATATAATAATATTATCTTATAAATTCAAATATTTTCACTTAGAATTTATCATTCATGGAATATTTGTATTCATTGTTTTTTTTTTTTAATTAATTCCCCGGTCTTCAAAAATAAAGAAAAATGTAAAAAGAAAAAAAAAATTGTATTTTGTGATGAATGATTTACCCTCATAATTAAAGTAGAAAGTAATAATAGTAATAATAATAATAATAATAATTCAGTTAGTTACAACCCAAGAGAAACTCAGAAACATATATTATTAAATAGAAAATCGTTATTAAACAATCAAAGCCTGCTTTCACGCAATTCATATTTTACACTAGGTAAAATTCATGACTCACATGATCACAGACTTCTTCTTCTTCCTCTTTCTCTTCTTCTTCTATTTCTTCTTCATTTTTTTTTTAAAAAAAAGATTACTGAAAACGCTAGCAGATATAATCAGACATGCAACATCTTCCACTGCAATTCCCCATATATATACCTACAAAACAAATTCTGTATCAGCAATTCAAGAATTTACTCATATTCTGATCTTATAGATAGAAAATATTTATCATGTATATAGAGGAATATAAAATTAAAGCCTTGAAAGTATGAAAAAGAAATATTACTAATATTTGTTCTAATTTCTAGGGATCATCCTCCTTAAATTACTGTCTAAGTAATTGTGGATAGACTATGTGCTCGGACATAGATCCGGAAAAAACTTTATCAAAGCAATAAATAAATCTTAAAATTGGAGAAAAATGTTTGAACTACTTAAAAGTCAAATAGCGATATTAAGAAAGCTGCATATATATATATATATATATATTAATATGTATTTTTTCCAGGTTTATTTGATGCATAAATCATATTTGTAAAGAAAAAGAAAAACGGAAAATTACTAGCTGTAGCATCAAATGGAGTTCTACTAATTAAAATAATAGATGAAATGTAATTAACAGATTCAAAACTTCAAATCATTGATAAATTAGGAATAAATAAATCGTAGTGAGCAGAAAATTAACAAGTGAAATAATAGATGGGAAGGCCGATACCTAGAGGAGGTTAGAGTGAAGAACATCTAGTCGCTGTCGCTGTCGCTGCTGCTGCTGTGGCCATCGTGGCCGTGCTCACCGTGCTTCTTTTCCTTCTTCTTTTTCTTCTTCTCTTCATGACCTTCACCATGGATCTTGTCCTTGATCTTATCGACGATCCCCTCTTTGTGTTCGCCCTTGTGCTCGCCATGGTGTTCGCCCTTGTGCTCGCCCTTGTGCTCGCCATGGTGTTCGCCCTTGTGCTCTTCCTCTTTCTTGCGGCCTCCGATGTGGAGAGCATCTTCGATCTTATGCATAATCCCTGACATTTTCGTCTCTACTGTTTTCTTCTTTCACAGAAATAATGTTGTGTGTGTTTTCGATCTCGAGATGTGGAAGAAAAGGGGTAGTTTAGGTGTATATTTATAGGCAGAACGAGTAGGGATGAGAATCCGTTTGAAGAAAATCTTTCCTTATTTTTTTTTTTATTTATAAATTTTATAAAACTTATCCAATTTAAGTGAAATTACAATAATGCCCATGTGTACGCGTGCAAAACGCGTCGTTCCATAAATCAACGGCTCCATTTGTCAGTTTTCAGGTACGGAGAGCTTTTGGGTTGGCAGATACAGACGAAATAAATAAATAAATAAATAAATAAAGCACAGTAAGAATAATTAAATTAAATTATTAAAATAGAAAAAAAAGTAAAACATATTTTATATTTCCCACCCAGAAATTTATTTTTTTTAAAATAATGAGCAATATTCATATTTATAAATAAAAATGTTATTTACTTTCTAAGTATATTTATTTTTATTTTTTTGGTGTTATATTTCGTTAAGGAAGGAATATATTCCGTTCGGATATTTCTAAGAATAAAATAAAATAAATGAAATTGTAATGTTCTTTTCACAATAGTTTTTAATGATAAAAGAAATATTTTTGGAGTGGGAATTTATTCTACAGATTTTTTAGAACTCAAAAAAGAAATATCCAAGAAAAAAACACAGAAAATATTTATGAGATTAAAAATATTGTAATTTCGAAATTCTTTATGGGCTATAAAAGAGAGATGAGATTGTAATGCCACGTCAGTGTGGGAAAAGACCGAGGCATTGAAGATTTTGTACTGCCAGAGAAATTCACGTTCTTCTGACACGTGGCGAATTATTAAATCAATAGGGGGTCCCACGGATGATGGACCAAAAAAAGTTAAAAGATAAGAGCCACTTGGGGGAGCCCACGTGTACTACATAGAGTGCGCTTCCTGAAAGTGAGAGCATTGATGCTGTACCTTTAATTTAACTCCTCTGACAAAGACGATTTTTTGTTGATGCTATAGACGTCTGACACGTGGACGGCTACGGTAGCTTGCCGACAAACCAGGTGGAAACGTTATCTTGTTACCGGTACCGGGCAAGTCTACTTTTGTTCCACGTGTCCAATTTTAGATGAGCTGAGACGTGGCGCTCCGTGATGGGGAAATAGAATCTGAAAATTATTTGAGTCAAGAGCAATTAGTGTGGATAGTAGTAGACATTTATTTCAAAATTTATTTTATCTTTGAAAAATATATTTAAAATTTTATTTTTTAGAAACCATTTAATTAATAAGATTCTTTGATATGTTAAACTATTCTAAAATACTGAAGAGAAATCTAGATGCTTGTACAAAATTCTGCATGATGATAGATAATTCTAAAAGTTCAGAGTAATATAGAAAATGTAGAACATGATGAAAGCATGAATTATTATATTTCGTACGAATAATGTAGAGGATGTAAAGAATAGAGGAAGATAGATAAAACCCTCATATAGTACATGAAAATGCATAAATTTGAAATGTGAATTACCATTACCGTTACATAATTTCCGAATCTAAAATCTATCAATCACCTGCGCATATAAATTTATTGTACATTCTAACAAAGATGTATGGGTCAAAAACCTAGAGGCATTCTAAAGTTATAAGAGGCATTTAATCCCTATAATCCATACTGTCAAAAGCTTCCATGTTTTTGCAAGTTGGTACGGGAAAGATGGCTAAATACTCTGCAGACCTTATCTTCCTCTCCTGACAAAATTCAACTCCCAATCTAAACCACATTCTTTTTTTTTTTGCTAAGACCAATTCTACAGAAAAAGCTTTTAGGTAGATCAAATTATTTTCATAATGTGATACCTATGACCCAACCAACTAACTGCTTCATATTTCAAAAAGGTAACAAAGATATAATATGATTGTGAATAAAGTCAATATATTATACAACAAGATTCGTCAAGGACGTAATCTAGCTTGAAGGTCAAGATTCATGGCATCAACATCCTTGACTTCTCTTTAGATGGAAATAACCACCAATCATTAGCTACTACGCACAAGTTCGAAAATAATTTACAATCCACCATATTAAATTACAAACTGGTCTTACAAATTTATTAAGGACAACTGTGATTTGTATGTCTCTTCATACCACATACTATCATTTGCAAGAGAATGGATAAAGACATTCCGGATATAGATTTATACCAAAGATACAGGTATTTCACCGAGGATCATCGGATTGCTCCAAGCAAATTAGCACCGTCGAGCTTTGCACCTTCCAAATGCTGATGAAGAAAGATGAAACTATTAGCCACTCTAAATTTCAGGGCAACAAGATACAGAGAACATTTTCCTAATGACGTCTAAGCTTTTAAAATAATTATAACCCAGCTATCCCTAAATGATACCAGAAGAAAGTTTGTATCCTAAAATTTTTTCTTATATCCTTAATGTAACAAGTACTAAAGCTCATGTGCCATGCAGATCCCTCATCTAATCAACTCCTTCCATTTCCAAGGAGGCAACTAGCATATCACATGTAAAGGGGCCATTATATGTATAAGGTCAGCTGTTAGTCCCACAACAATTTAAGATTATTTTTTGAGGAACACAATTCAAGAAAATGTATACCTGTAAAATTCCCTTTCTTTTTAAAGAAAAAACCAATACTTTTGGAAATTCGTAAAAAATGTTTTTTGTTTAAAAAAACATAAGAACATTTCTATTAGAAATTTTATTTCTGTAAAATATGTTTTGTATTCTTTTAGAAATAAAAAATAAAAAAAATGATTCTCTGAAATTATCGGAGACCCCAACTTCAGAAATAATTGATTATCAGCTTTACTTAAAAGTCATCCCCATTATAATGCCAAACATGCATATGAACAGATACAAGGTCCATGTTCTCACTTGAACAAACGTTATGAAAGCAAAGGAAATTGACTTTGATAATTCTCTCATTAGCTAGCTTATACTTGTGGAACTTGAAACAGTATATTGCCGGGCATTGTAAAATTGATGAGAACTATCTATCTAATCTATTCTAAATTTGTATATCTTTTCTGGAAATAGAATTCATTTTTTAATTCTATTTATAGATAATGTTATTTATGTTGGAGTTGTAATGTTATGACAAATTGCGATTTTATTTATTTTTTTTATTTTATCATATTGAATCGACTAAAATTCATTATTTCAATAAAATAAACTTTTAATTGTGAAATGAATAAATAATCAACTCAAAAAATGTAGTGAAGCACAAGATGCAACAATCAATAAGAAATCCTATCAGAAAATTAAGAAAATTATCAGGATGAATTTTGTACATGTCCTATCAAATAAACAAAGGTAAAGTGAATAAAATTTTATAGTCAGTTTATATTACTTACAGTTTCTCGAAGATTGACATGCCGCAGATAGGCTCGTTGAAGGTTTGCTGACTTCAGATTGGCATTTGTTAACTTCGCACCCTGTAGCATGTATGAGTTTTATGCTACTCTTGTAATTTAGAAGTTAAGACATAATTAAAACAAAGACATCATCGCTTAAACTGTTTCCAAAAATTTTGTTTAAATGATTAGCTATGAATAAAAGAACCTCGAGTTCAAATTTTTGGTTCACAGTACCAGAAACATGGGAATCAGGTTATTAACCTACTCACAATGTCATGCAAAAAAAGTATAGATTACAAGTGAGAGACGGTGGGATAAATTTCGTTAGTATCATTGTTGCAAGTGGCTCTATGCAATAATTAGTATGAAACTGTAATTGTGAAGTATACTTTCGACCTTTTCACAACTAAAAATCACATTCTATTTTCAGTTTTAAATTATAGATCTTTGTTTTACGTTGAAAGAAATTAAAAGAGACATTACATTAGGTTTTAAAGATAATCATTTATGAGGATTTCTGGGTTCATGAACCATGAATGAAGATTATGCCATGAGGATGCTCACACCCTTAGAGAGTATTTATCTAAGTGCAAATTGTCTTGTTTCTTTGACTTTGCAATCCATAGAGCGGTTGAAGATTTTTTGGAATCACCCTCCCTAGTACATAATTGCATCCTTCAGGATCTTGCCAGTATAGGAGTCCCCCACCACTTCCAGTTTTTGGTTTTTTAGCAGTAAAATACAGAGATTGTGCTTTTCCCCTATTCCTCTTTTTATTTTTTTTTCAAAAAGAAGCTGCTTTCACACTTTTAGCCACCATATCCCCACATCAATCATTTCTCTCTCAACAATAAAAAAAATTGCTCAGACAGTCCAGTATCCCCCGAGCAATTCTGCTTTGAGTCTGATTTTTGTGGGAGTGAAGGAACAGCCACATAGCTCTCTTCTCGTGACTACTCAGAGGCAGGAGGGAGAGAAGCATATGCCCAGACGATAACTATGATGCTGAAAAACTACAACTTTTACTGATGTGCAAATTATCAAGGTGCTGTTGTTTTTATAGAAAATATTAGAATAAGAGTAGTTTAATATTTACTCTTTCTGAACAGGTGGAATGTCCACCATCACCATCAGAAATTAGTTACATTTGTTGCTTATTTTTCTCTTTCTGTTTTTCTCTCACACCCTCACCTTTGGTGTGACATCGGGGCAATGAGTGCCTATAAATGGCACCTCACTCTCTCTATTTTAGTTAGCAAGAAAGAAGAGAATAACCTCTCATTTTATCTCCCAAACTTTGTTTCCATTAAAATCTTCATTGTATCAGAGCGCCTCTAATCCATAAATCTCCTTTCGTGTGCGCCAGATTCTTCAATGGTCACGGATGACTGAATCTCTTCATCACCCGAAATTATTTCGGGTACGTATTTCCCCAACTCCATCAACATTGGAATGGTGGAACAACATTCATCGATCATCACCAGCCATCGACTCAATAGCGATAATTACCTCCAATGATCGATGTTTGTGCGGCTATTCATCCGAGGGAAAGGACACGATGAATATCTCACGGGAAAAGCTCCAGAACCTCCATCGAATGACCCACATGCTCAAACTTGGAAAATTGACAACAGAATGGTAATGTCCTGGTTGTTAAGCTCCATGACTCCCGAAATCAGTAAAAATTTTCTCTTATACGAGACAGCTCATGAAGTTTGGAAAGTTACTTGTGAGTTTTACTCTAGCCGCGAAAACACCTCAATAATTTTCGAAATCGAATCCACCATCCACGAGCTGCGGCAAGGTGAGCTAAACGTTACTTAATATTATAACGCTCTCACTCGCAACTGGCAGCAGTTCGACGTATTCAAAGATCATCAATGGAGCTGTCCAGAAGATGCTAAGAAATACAGAGAAATTGTGGAGCAAAAAAGAATCTTCCGGTTCCTCATGAGACTCAACAAAAAGCCTGAATGAAGTGCGGGGCTGAGTTCTAAGAACAAAACCACTGATGGGTATTCGTGAGGTCTTCTCTGAAGTTCGACGAGAAGAAAGTAGGAAGAAATTGATGTTGGGAGAACCTTAGTCGACTCAGCTGAGTGAGAATGCTTCTGCTCTTACTTCTCACGTCTCTGATTCTCGTGAAAAGAAAGGGCGTCCGTTCTGTGAGTTCTGCAAAAAGTCAGGGCACATTTGTGAAAAGTGCTGGAAACTTCATGGGAAACCAGGAGAGAAGAGGATCACTGAGGCACCTCACGAAAACTTGGCGACTTCATAAGAGCTCTATGTTCATCCCGAAAGTGCTCCCTTCAGTCCACAACAAATGGAAGCACTAGTGAAACTTTTTTTCGTCGAAAATGGGAAGTCTGGGTAATTCCTCTACCTCTATTGCCCAAAAAGGTAAATACCCATTTGGTTTATCAACATGGTTCCATAAAAAACATATTTGGATTGTGGATTTTGGGGCATTTGACCATATGACAGGAAATCAGTCATTGCTCGGTGATTATCTTGAATATAAGGAAAGTTTATTAATTAAGATTGCTGATGGTTTAAGTTCTAGAGTGGCAAGAATTGACTCCACAAAAATATCATCCTACTTGACACTCAACTCAGTTTTTTATGTGCCTAATTTGGATTGCAATCTACTGTCCATAAGTAAATTGTGTAAAGATATGAAATGTATGGTAAAATTTGACAATCATTCTTGTGTATTTCAGGACTTGGTTTCGAGGAAGATGATTGGCAATGCTATGATGGATTCAGGTCTCTACTATCTTGCAGTTGACCCACTTACCTCAAGTAGATAAGCTTCTAATGTTGTATGTGATAATTCGATTTTTATACATTGTTCAAACGATGATCACACAATTATGTTATGATATCATCGATTAAGCCACCCAAACCTTTTGTACTTAAAGCAATTATTTCCTATTTTATTCTTGAATAAAAATCTACTTTCATTTTAATGTGAAGTGTGCCAATTTTCAAAACACATTCGCAATTCTTTTCTTAATATACCATATAAACCCACACAACCATTTGCTCTAATGCATAGTGATGTTTGGGGACCTTCATGAGTCAAAACCATTATTGGGAAAAAATAGTTTGTATTTTTTATTGATGACCATACTAGCATTATCTAGGTCTTTCTTATGAGAGAAAAGTCTGAAATGAGCCAAATATTTCAGAGATTTAATACTATAATTCAAAACCAGTTTCACACCACAATACAAGTACTGAAAACCAATAATGCATGTGAATACTTTGAATCCACCCTAGGAAAATATCTTAATAATCAAGGTATCCTCCATCAAAGCTCTTGTGTATACACCCCACAACAAAATGGTATAACTGAAAGAAAAAATAGACATATTCTTGAAGTTGACAAATCATTAATGTTTACAACCCATGTTCCTAAATTTTTGTGGGGTGAAGCCATTCTTACTGCTACCTACTTGATCAATCGAATGCCCACTTGGACACTAAATTTCAAAACTCCTTATAAAGCTCTCCTTCAGGCATTTCCAAAATATCATGTTTTAAACACTATCCCATTGAAAATAGTTGGTAGCACCGCTTATGTTCACATTACTGATGACATATTACTTGCAACAAATAAGCTACGGGTCTACACAAGGAGAAACAAAACTCAAGATAATAAAATTTCTGAATTAACCACGCAAAGTCATGAGCCAACTCCTAGACCAAGTATTCATAATAGTACAAATAATGAAATTTCTGACTCAGTGGTTAATATTGACACTAATGCTAAACTTCCTATTGCCTTGAGAAAAGGTGTTCGGTCTTGCACCATGCATTTCATACAGGATTATGTGTCATATGACAAGTTGTCTACAACATACAATGCACTTGTTAGTAAACTCGATAACAACATTGTCCCAAGAATTGTTCATGAGGCACTTGAGCTCCCAGAATGGAAAGCCACAATCCAAGAAGAGATCACAACGCTTGAGAAGAATGAGTCATGAGAACTATTTGATCCACCTTCAAGGAAAAAGCCTGTAGGGTGCAAATGAATCTTCATCACAAAGTATAATCTTGATGCAACCGTGAGCCGTCATAAAGCTCGCCTTGTTGCCAAAGACTTCACTCAGTCATATGGGATTGATTATTATGAAACTTTTGCCCCATTTGCTAAACATAACACAATACGAGTTCTGTTCTCCTTGGCCTCAAACCTTGATGGGCCTCTTCATCAACTGGATGTAGAGAGTGCTTTTCTCAATGGAGATCCAGAAGAAAAAGTTTACATGAAAGTCCCTCATGGACTTAGCATCGGGTCTAAGACGGTATGTAGACTAAAAAAGCCTCTCTACGGCCTTAAGCAGTCTCCAATGGCATGGTTTGAGAGATTCTCAAGGGTAGTAAAACAGATGGAATATGTTTAGTGTCAATCTGATCACATTGCCAAAATGAGTGCCACGGGGAAGAAATCTATCATAATTGTATATGTTGATGACATTATCTTAACAGGTGATAATGATGAAAAAATTCTGAAACTCAAAAAGTTTCTAGCCAAAAAATATGAGATCAAAGACCTTGGGTTACTTCGATACTTTCTTGGGATGGAAGTATCTCAATTTAAGAAAGGTATCTCTGTTTCACAACGCAAATGTGCCTTAAATCTTTTAAAGGAAACAGGTATACTTGGTTGTAAACCTGTAGAAATACTGATGGAGTCCAATGTCAAAATCGGTCTAAAAAATGATAGCAAACCTGTTGATAAAGAGAGATACCAAAGACTTGTTGGCAAACTTATCTATCTTGCTCATACCAAACCTAATATCAGTTTTGCTGTGAGCACTGTAAGTCAGTTTATGGCTGAACCTACTGAAGAACATATGAGTGCTGTTTACCGGATTCTGAGGTACTTAAAGATGACCCCTGGTCATGGATTGTTCTTCCAAAAAATAATAAACAGAGACATTGAGATATTCATTGATGTTGATTGAGCAGGATCAGTGATTGATAGAAAATCAACAACTGGCTACTGTGCATATGTGTGGGGCAACCTAGTCACTTGACGAAGTAAGAAACATTCAATTGTGTCTAAAAGTAGTGCTGAAGCTGAATTGAGGTCTCTTACCCATGGAATATGTGAAGGTGTATGGCTGAAGAAGATTCTATCTGAACTAAGCTTTGGTATTCCTAATCCTATGAAACTCTAGTGTGATAATCAATCAACCATCAGTATGGCCAAAGATCCAGTGCATCATGATAGAACCAAATATGTAGAGATTGATCGTCATTTCATTAAAGAGAAGATAGAAGACAAGACCATTATCCTACACTATGTTTCTACTGATCTTCAGACTGCAGTTATCCTTACAAAGGCACTACCAACAAGAAAATTTAATAACATTGTATCCAATTTATGATTACTCAATATATATGTAATCTAAATTGAGGGAGAGTGTAGAAAATGTTAGAATACTGAACAGGTAGAATGTCCACCATTACCACCAGAAATTGGTTACGTTTGTTGCTTATTTTTCCCTTTCTGTTTTTCTCTCACACCCTCACATTTGGTGTGACATCAGGGCAATGAGTGCCTATAAATGACACCTCACCCTCTCTGTTTTAGTAAACAAGAAATGAGAGAAGAACCTCTCATTTTATCTCCCAAACTTTACTTCCATTAAAATCTTCAGTTTTCCTACTAGCTTTCTTGTACTAGGAGATTTCATTTCTATTGCCAAAAAGAAATACCCTGTAGGTAGATTGATGACAATTGTGCAAGAACATGCTTACCTTCAAATTGGCTCCTTCCAGATTAGCTCCCTCTAAATTAGCATTAGTAAGATCCGCACTCTGACATGTCAACAGGAAAACCAGATTACTATATCATACCACTTTCTTTTTGGCAGGGGGACGATGGGGAGGAACAATCGAAAGAGACAAGAAGACAGAATAAAATTTTCAAAATCCTTATAAAAATTTGTCAAGCTTTAATAATTCTTATACATGTAATAGTCTCATAGACGCAAGACAGTGTAGAGCTTAAACAAAATGAGTGAATGCTGCAATTGTAGATAGTTCTTATTACACCAAAAGGATGCAACATGAAGGAACAAATGCAAAAACAAACTGTAATAATCATAGTTTAATAAAAAGAGTATCATTAACTAAAGACTTTTCTTGTACAAAAACAAAACTACCGTTCACAAGGCACCAAAGTAGTGCCACCCATTACCTAAGTACAGGATATACAACAAACAAATAAAAGAAAAGGTTTATGAGAGACCAATAACCTTTCTATCACAAGGAGAACCTCAAATGAAAAGTAAAACATACAGAATGGACATTTACCTGCAGAGGACTAACAGTTGAATTGGTTTCATTAAATTCATAATATTCAATTCCCGATCAAACTTAAGGTCAAATGCAACAGAAAATAGATCCTAACATGCCATTGTAAGAGATAATAGAGAAAATATCATTCTCTACTCATTAAACTCCATATTAATCCAATTTTGCGAAGTTGAGAGAACACTGCAAACATTTAAAAAACCATTCTTATTCCACGGAGACATAACATGTACTCATTAATGCTTCACATACACAAACTAAATTAATTCATCACCTGTAAGTGTGCAGAACGAAGATCTGCACCACAGAAACTACAATCTATCAAACAGGCATCTGCGATGTCACAAAAGAATGTAGATTCAACATAGCATTCAACTGTGAGCTTCAACCAGACGGAAAGAAAGAAACAGAAGTAATGATCCTAAGAAACATCCATCCCATGCTAAGTAACCACCTTGCATTCCTCTGGAAAGCAACAGCTGTAAGCATCACCTAAGAACTTCTAAGATTTAAATTTTTGTTTAATTCTTAACCTAAAAAACTGCAGATATTACACATTCATTTAAAATATGATTTCCATACTATTTTCACCTGAGTCAAAGAGAGGGATTATTAATGGGTTCATCCAAGAGATTGATCAAACTCTGAATAAAATCCTATTTCTCACATATTTTTTTAATAAGTATGGTCTTTAATAGACAAACAGAGAGTTTCATTAAAGAAATTGTATAAACTACTGTATCCAAAATCTTTGTGAAACAGTCACACATGCTTCAGTAATAACCAAGAGAAAATACTGCATTACTTGACATCCTTATATCCAATAAAATAACGTCATACACTGCTCAAAAAGTAATTAAAATTTTGAGAAATGCATGCATTAATTCTTGCTTCTTTTGGGGCTCAGAAACCTAACACATTATCCAATAAACTGGAAAAGGGGGATGGAGGTGAATTTCTCACATCAGCCTGTGGAAGGAGTTTCTCGATGAACAATCATGCTGGTTGAGTATGCATTTCCAATATTGACAAAAAAAGTTAAATAAAATGAGTACGAAGCATGTGGCACCATAGGACAAACTTGCTAGTTAAGCATGCTTCAAAAATCATGCAGGTCACAACATGCATTAAAAAAAATTTAATCATGTGCACGTGTAAAACAAATAAAAACTGATAAAAATATTAAATACTGTAGCCTTGACCAGCAGAGAATATTAAATACCTTGTAGATTTGCACTCTGAAGATTAGCAGCTGCTAGTAAAGCTCCACGAAGATTCGCTCCAGTAAATTCACATCTTCCCTAGGCCAGATAAAAACGTTAACACAATATTTTGCACAGAAATTTTTAGAAAGGTTAGCAGACAATGTTTCTTTGGGGGTCTTACTCACGCAGGGTTGCATTATGAAAGATGGAACACTCGGCATCTACATCCTGTGAAAAGTTGAAATGATTCATCAGCTAGGGCCAAGCAACAGACTGCTGAACATAATAAGCAACTATTCATAACCTTCTCATATTAAAAATGCTTGCAAATAAAGTGTATAGCAATCATCTATGAGAAATATATTAAAAACATTAAAATAATTGAAATAGCAAAGCACACTGTAAATCATCAAGTCAAACTAATGCTTACCCGAAATTTCGCACATTGAAGATTGGCACGTGAAAAGAAAACATTCTTAAGACAAGCATAGCTGAAGTCAACAAATGAAAGATCCTGCATATTTTGAAAACCTGAGCATCAGTGGAATTAATATCTTGTAGCATCCTTGCATGTCTTAAAAAGTATAGCAGGGTAAAAGAGTTTAAGCAACCAATAATAGAGCAGAATGTATGTTATAATGTTAAATATAAACTGATGAATGACAGCTTGGGTTTGATATGAAATTCCACAAAGGATATAATGGAGGAAGTTAGGGTTTGAAAATTAGAAAAATGGTGGAGGAATACAGAGGAAATACAAAGATGAAGGAGAAGAGATAGAACATATAAAGTGAGAAAAAATATGACAATGAGATGGAACAAAGAAGCGAACCAAGAAGAGATCAGTATTATTAACTGAAGAATTCTGAATCCCATCTACTCTATTCTCTTATCTATTTACTTTTGTTATGAATTAATTCAACCAAATAAATAACTTGTCAAAATAATAAAGATAAGATAAATGTTTCTAAATCCCTATCAAATTCAAAATATCCAAAAACTAGCTACCTTTACCTAACTAGCCTAAATAATCTAAAAATACTAAAATCTCATAATGATTACAAAAAATTTCATCTCTCTTAAAAATGTTCCACTTCATCTTCTTCTCTTTCCATGATAAATATAACAACTAAGATAGGAAAAGTGAAAATAATTCTTCTTAATTTTGGAGAACTAGGTGTTAGACTTAGCTTATTTTGTGGAAGGTATGTTTTGGGATGTGGTTTCAAGGCCCCGTATAGGAGAGGTGTCTTGGAAGTAGATCAATGGTTGAATTCAACAAAATTTCCAAAGTAAGTGGATATGGAGATTCCTAAAAGAGCAAATCAGCCTCTGGAGAAAAGTGATCATAGCCAGTTTGGAACAAAAGGCAAGGATTAATACTTTAAAAGTACTAGATGTCTATACGGTGTTGGACTATGGGGGAAAATAATCTTGGAAACAAAGAGGATTTTCATGGGCGTATCTGGTGGAAGATTGTATCGGGTCATAAGGAGAGCTTTTGGATGGATTACTGAATGAGAGTGGAAAATTGTATAATGCTTTCCACAGTCATCCTTTACCTAAGAATAAAGAGACAACAATGGCAGAATCATTCTCCAACACCCTGTGCAATGGAGTTTGGGTGGTGGATCTGGCAGAAATCTCAACAATCCAGAGGTGAAGGCCAAATGAACCTTGGATGAGCCGGTTCGGAAGCTCACTTTGAAAGAGATTTTCTTCTTGGGGGAATCTTCCCATCTCCAATTTAGCAAAGAGCGGAAGAACTGATGTGAAATTTCCATTGAAACTAATTTTGGACATTAATGCCTCACCTATATTTGCCATCTTTATTATGGAAGCGGCAAGGGGATGTATTTAACTACAAATGATTTGACTCAAGGGGGGAAGTCATTGTGAAAGGTCATTCCTATTTTTTATTTTATAGAGAACTTATAAGCTCTCTAAAAAATGTTGTTGCTGACAAGCCAAAACATCTAAACTGCCACTAACAATTCTAAAAATTCTAATTTACATTCCTAATATGCACAGAATATCTTTTTTTTTTTTTTCTTCCATGGTGGTTCTTATTCTCTCTTCATCTTTTGTATTATTTTTTTTCTATAACAATTAAAAAAAATCATCTATATACTACATTTCTAAATTTAATTGGAACTGAAATAATCATTTAAAGTAATTTTATCTTATCAAATAATGTATATCTCAAATTATTACTAAGTTATGTTGATAACTAAAAAATAATAACTGAATTATGTTTAGTTTATTCTTAAAACAAAATACAAAATAACATTATATTTACTTTATATTTTAATAAGTATAAAAATATAACAAACTGAATTTCAGACTAAAAAAACTATGATAGCTCTACAAATAAAAATAGTGAAATTATCCTTTCTGTCATTTTACACAAGTGACAGCTTATTAGTCTTAACGAGCATAAGTAGACTAATACAGCTTCTAAGTTTATATTAGCCAAACAGTTTAACCACTTATAATACTAACAAGTACTTAAGCAACATGTTTTACACTTTCAGCCAGCCTAAGGGTAACTGTAATGATCAGAAAGCCAAATAAAGTTTGAAATTTTCTTTAAGATCCAGATTCCGGCAGATATAAGCCATTGATTTGAATGCTGATATCACATATTTATTCAGCATCTGGAATCAGAATATTACCAGTTTTGAGAGATCAAGACCAGAGAGATTAACGCCACGAAATCTGACTCTCTCAGACTGTATACACTTGATGATATCTGCACGAGTTAATTCAGACTCTACTTCATCAGCTTCCTTCTTCTTATTTATGATGGGAGTAATTTCTTCTATTAGTCCCTGAAAGGGGAAAATATCAAGATTCATACTGTTGTTAAGACTAGAGATGACAGTACGTTATTCACCGATGAGGTAGCATCAATAGCAGTTGCCTGATAAACATGTTGGACAAGTTTATTCATCCAGAACAAAAATGATAATCACTTGCAAATGTGAATTTTAGAAATTCAATAATAGACAATAAATGCAACATGAGCGTTTAGCAGGCAGTGGATTCACAAAATGGGTAAAGTATTCAATTGATAAGTGGAAAAAGAAGATAACTATTTACTTCATCCTTCATTAATATATCCACATTTAACTAACTGTAGCACTCATCACAAGTTTTGCCTAAAAGAAAATTAGGGCCTTGTCAACAGGCTCAACACAATGCAACAACAAAATGCTTCCTTCTTCAATCAGATGAAGAGAATTTTGGCAACAATATCATGTAGTGATGGTTTCCAACACTGGGAGAAATGATTTCCAAGTGTACATGCCCCTTTTGATACTAATATTGTTTTCATCCACATGCCCCTTGGAAATGATTTCCAAGTGTAAGTGCACAAATTGATTTGCCTTTTTCACAAGCTATATCATACTTCCATTAATAAAACCTAAGACTAAGTTTAGTTGCAGAAGCCAGTTTTGAAATCTTATTTCTAATATAATGTTTATACATGGAATATATTTAGTTCTTGAAAGTGGAAGCACGATTTAAGAAATGATAGCGAAAATATGAAATAAATTTGAAAAGAGTAAAGAGTTATTATCAAACTCATGTAATTTCACCATCATTTTCTAAAACTAATTTAAGTTTTCAACAACTACACATGTTTCTGTGTACCGTAAGTATGAGAATTTAAAAAATAAAAACTCAGAATATTGTCTACAATTAAACAAGGCCTAAATATCTTAATCCAACTAAATCACTTCTACAGTTAATAGGATGTCTAGAAGTAAGTCCATGCCAATTAAGACCAAAAAGAAGAAATGATGTAGGACAAATTTTAGGTTAATTTGCCGACTAAAAGATTGGAAAAACCTAGATATCATACCTAGGGTTCTTAGGCATCACATAGAAATTAACTGAATCACGAAATCAATTCTAAAAAATTCTTAGAAATCTTATTGAATATTTGAATGATCAATAAATAAAATTATAGAGCTATTTATAATAATTTCTAAGTAACTTTTTCTGATTAGAATTAAACTAAGAAATAATAAACCAGTAGAATTTGGAGTACTGATCCTAATAAGAATAAAAAATTAATACTAATAAGAATAGAAATCCTAAATAACTAAAAACTATAATAATGCTCCTAAATAATATAATAATAGACTCTTTATATTTAAAAGAAATATAACTTCTAACCTATTTAGACATAACCCATTCTGCATCAAGAAAACAAAAGAAAATATATTAACCCCAATTTTTTGTTTTGGTTTCTGTTCTTGTTAAGAAGGGAAAAAAAATTTAACTTTAATTATGTGGCTTCTATGACACAATGTCATGCAATAATGGTTCTGAAACTGGGGGAAAGTAATTTCCAAGCTTATGCCCCCTTTTGACACTGATACTGCTTTTATCAACAGATATCTGAAATCACAAAAGTCATGTGCTTTTTTCACAAGCTGTATCACGCTTCTATGAATAAAACCGAAGACCCTTTTTTTAGTCGTAAAAAATGTTTTTGAGTTTTTATATCTAATGTTATATACGTCTATAGACAGAATACATTTAGTAGTTGAAAATGGCAGCATGAGTTAAAAAATGATAGCAAAGATATGCCACAAATTTGAACATGTCATATTTTCACTATCATTTTCTAGAACTTGTTTTCATTTTCAATAACTATAAGAATATCATACATATAAAAATAGAAAAATTCTTATATTTACATATGTTTCATTAATTGCTTTTACGTTGTACGGTTATAGGATAGCTGCTCTTATCTTTCTTTTGTTGGAAACAAGGAATAAAGAACCAGGAACCTGCACTAATCTTCCTTTAAAACTGGAGAAAATGCTTAATCAGAAATCATCAAGCACTTGATATGAGAAAAGAAATAATGCAAGAGCCACAACACTGAATTTTCCATTTCCCTTAAAGCAGTAAGTATGTTTATTAAGTTGCAGACACTTACGGCCAAAATAAACTAAATAATAATAATGACATCTAATAGGGAAAGACGGAGCAGACTAGAAGAAATTCTAGCTTACCAGCAGCTGATAATATTCTGCTTCCCGCAGAAGTTCTAAATATTCAGCATCTGTCAAAGTGGGAATAACACCATCCCTCAACCAATTTAGTATGTGACGGAAATGTTTTCCATCTCTATCGACAAAGACATATCCCTGCAATGATCACCAAACAAGAATTTTGATTTGCAAACTTCCTTTGAGAAAAATAAGAAAATTGTAGACAAAGGACTAAAAGGGTGCTGTCCATGTACAAAAAGCATTTACACATTAGGAAATATCATATTCAAAATATAAATGTTCCTTAGATCTATGCCATCAAAGAGAAAATGACTTTCAAGGAAATAAAAAATTTGATTTTTGTACTTTATAGAGGTTATTTTCCATATAAGATGAAAAAGTATGAACAAATTAAGGAATATCCCATACACGGTCTTTTATTGGTGTTTTGTAGGACATGCACCTTCCAATTGCTCTCTCTCATGCGCATGGCAAACAAAATTTACATCAAACATTTATATTTTCCCACATTAAACACTATAATTCTAATTTTAACCAGATTGGCAAACAAAAACTTATGAAAGCACAAAAATCCATCAGGCACTAATCAGAGTCCATTTTGCCAAACATGATTTCACAATAGAATGCAAGGGATGTCCATCATCATTTCACTTATTCAGACAGAAAAAGAAAAGAAATAATTGAGAAAAAGAAGGGTTACTATGCATCCTTGCTTTCTCTTAAAAATCTGTTCTCTTCATTTCCCAAATTGAGGGAAAGGGGAGGAAAAGAAGAGTTTAAAAATCTTCGATAATAAATAATCTATTAATTCTTGATTATCTACCTTTCCGTTTTAATCATGAAGTATATAATTGAAAAACTTTCATAATTAATAGCTTCCTTTCCTTTAGAGTTACACACGTAAACCAAATAAAATATCTTGAGAAACCTTTCCTCTACTAGGTAAATTTTTCATTACCAAAAGCGAGGAAATATGTTTCTTTCCCTTTCCTTCAGAAAGTCCAATTTCTTTTCCTTTCCTCCCCATTTTGTTTCAAAATTTTATCCGAACATAGTGCTAAAGTAATCTATTTAGACAGTAAAACCTAAAAACATTTTCTTTTTTCTTTTTTTCTTTAATCTGAACACAGTGAAAAAATTAGGACATCTGTTTCTATTTCATATGTCCTAATTTTGCTTCTTAATCATATGGCTTAAATCTCCTTCATAACATGTACATATCTTATTAACTTAGTTAATGCAAGTTCTCACGTGACCGTGTCACATAAACAAGGTACTCCATATAACCTCTCAAATAAAGTATATAGTAGCAGAGGAGAGGAAGTAGAAATCCCCTTGTCAATAAAAAAGTCACCTATTAATTTTAACAAGTGACTTGAATCAAGAAAAAAGTTAGGAATTTTAATTGATTAATTGATGGAGAAATAACCTATAAGAAAAACAGTGAAAAACATTATTTTTGACATGCTCAACGAAAATATGCTAATCTTTTGGGACTATATCCATGACTGAGATGTTCACCATTCTGTACGAAGGGCACACAACAAATAAAAGCCAGTGATTCCCAAGAAGGTATAATATAGATAAAGAAGGAATCAAATACCTTCACAGAGTCCTGGGATACAGTATGTCGACCACTGAACATTGCTGCAAGCATTGAATCAGGTTCTCGCTGAGTCAATGTATCAATAGTAGTACAGAATTTCTGTCCTCCTGAGTACCGACACAACACATACAAATAAAATTCTTCAGGTTAGAACACAAAATGAGACTGGTTAAGCAGTGATCCGAATATAGATGTGTACAGATTTAGACACACAAAAGAATACACGTCCACTAATACTAACACAAGTCGTGAATGTTAATTGATCCCATCTAAAACATTGTTTGTTCACTGAGAAATTAATGGAATAGCAAAACACTGCGGACGCCTAAACGCAATCAAGTAAGAACAACCTGTTTAACTTTACACAATAATCGGTACAACAAACTGAGAATAACCAAACGGAAAAAGTAAAGTGGGTGAATTTTCTCTTCGTCTCCTTAATTTTCCCGCAAGCGAACAGCGGTTAGTCAATCAAGTCTGGAGCTAGCCAACTAGAGATGAGATTCGGTTAATTAATCGAAGTATTCAGCCATTCAAAAGAAGGAAAAAAAACAGAGGACCAGATTCGAAGCTCCATTAAAAACCGATCAAATTCAGTATCAGAAAATTAGCAGAAGAGTGTATAAGTTATAAGTACGTGGAAAATGCAGTTCGACATTGATCGATCAAGGTAGAGAGAACTCACCGATATTGAGGCGAACGAGGGACGGTAAATCAGAATTGTTCGTCATTACTCTTGAGCTTCCGAGGGAGACCAGAAACGAATGAGCCGAGTAAAAATGACTTGCAACTTGAAACCAAAGCTACTAGAATAAAACGACAGCGTTTTGAATACTTAATGGTGTTCGGGTCAGATCCTTTTTGTTGTCTTTTAACTTTAAAAGAGTGAAAGGGCGTATGGGCTGGGCCTTTATGGTTAAAGGCCCGGGTGTTTGCATGGCCACCTCAACGTGGCAGCATGGCATCATGTACACATCTCAGTTTTCTCTCTCATTTTTCCGGTTCAGATATCTATACACACAAGCTCATCTGGGTATGAATCGGTAGATCTTCAGAAGGCAAATCAGAGGAAGTGAAGTTTCTTTTTGTTTTTTTTTTTTTTCTTTGGGTTGTTTTTGGGAAGACGATTGGATGATGAAAAGGAAGCATCTCTCCTCCGTTGCCAACGATGTTGTGCAGAGATGTGCTCAGTACTTACATATATACTCCTCTCTTTTCTTTTACATATACATATATATATATATATATATGTACGCACGAAATTTCTTTTGGTGAATAATCTTACTCTTGTAATTGTAATTGGGCGCCTTCTTCTTCTTCTTATATTTTAATTAGCTTCTGTATACTCAGTCTTGGCAAGCTTATATATATATGACTCTATATGTATCGGACCAGTTTTATACTGCAACTTGCGATACGTAAATAATATATTTATACGGGAGATGTTTCATTAGGGTGATACAATGGGATGATGTCTGTTTGATGATAATTGGCATACGTATGATTCTATATATTCTCTGTTAGAAATTAAGCAGAGAGCTGTTGATATAATTGTACACTCCATGTATATATTTTCAAGTCTATTAGGAATTAGACCTATAGAAATTAAAGCTAAATTCGGTACCTTACTATGTCTCTTTGGTTTATTTCTTATTTAATTTCTAGTTTTGGTAATTGTAAGAGCTCTAATTTGTATAATTAGAATGTGATATTTCCTCTTTTCTGTGATTGATTTTTCCCATCTCCATCATGAGAATTCAATTTTTTATATCTTATTTAGAAAAAAAATTATTAGGTTTTTGGAATACAAATTAGGTAGAAGATTTCGTAAATGTGATTAAACGTTATTCATACCGTGTTTAAATGCCGGGCTTGGCACAAATTCTAACCACATTATTAAAAATAGTAGAATATATAGCTACAGAAGTATATAAATGATTTTCTTGCTTAGTTTTGATCATATTAGATGTTAAATAATTGATTATAGGTTTATTTTGAAACTCGATCAACTTGAACTCGTTGAAATTGTGTGGAATTTAATTCCCCAACTATGGTTTAGCACTTTATTTTGCCTTACCAAGCAAGTAGAATTGAATGATCACACAACCCCTCTTGAATTCTCGTAGGGAATTAGCCATCTCTGTCGACACGTTGGTACGAGAATTTGAAGGAAGTTGGAATATTGAAAGTAGTGGTTATTCGAGGAAATTTGTGGAATTTTGTTGCACAAAAGCTCTTACTCAGTTGTGTCAATACGTCAAAGAAAAGGTTACTAATGGATCATACAGTCGTTTCACATTTGACATGATGCTTTCGTGGGAAATGCCTAGTTCAGAAGACGAAGAGGCTTATACAGTGCGTATTTCTTCTGTCTAAATTTTTGCTTCATATCTGTTTTCATTTCATAAAAAATCTCTCAATTTCTTCTTGTATTTTACTTAGTAAGATTTCATGATAACAGAAGTGTGTGGGAAAGGAGAGAGAAGAGAAGAAAATTCAAGTGAATATTGGTGAAGAACAAGATGACATCCCTCTTTTCTATTCCGACATAATGCCTCTTCTGGTAAGAATTTTTTATTTATTCTCCTCCTATATATCTTTCAAAGCTTTGTAATTTATAGCTTCTACTTGGATATCGTTCTTTAAGTTTGTGTTTTCTTGGTAGGTTGATCATGGACCAAGTATCGGAGAAGATACATTTGTGTGGTTGGGCTCGTTAGTTCCGTTGGCAGTTGACATGGTTAATGGGAGATTCACATTTGAAACTCTAACAGCATCAAACAGGGAAACCGGCTACATTTTCCTGCCCTATGATTTGTTCATAAAGGAAAATTGACAAGTAATGCATCTAACTCCATTAAAAAATTAATGTTTACAAAATCAATAATGACTATAAAGTTTAAGATATGTCTTTCCTTTAAAATCTCTAGTATATTTTAATCCAGTATGAAATGTAATTTACAGATGCGTAAAGCATTTGCAAAAACAACAGAAGCCGAAAGGAGTTGAAATGGCTGATGATGAATTTATACTACATGTGGAAAGAACTGCAAGCTCTCAGAGAGTAGTGCGCCATATCGGAGGCACAAGTTGGCCCGGTTTGTTCTAAAGCTCTTATCTCAATTACCTGCATATACATAACCTGAATTGCTAAATAAAGAATATGATTTACCACTATTCTTTATTTGGTTTAAGTGATTAATTGTTGCTTTTTATTTCTTATTATAAGTGTTATTTTTCTAGGTAGGCTCACGCTAACTAACTATGCCCTCTACTTCGAGGCTTCGGGAGTAATAACTTACGAAGATGCACTCAAGATTGACCTGGCAAAGGATACTGATCGCAGCGTGAAACCAGCTCAAACAGGTCCATGGGGTGCTCCACTTTTTGACAAGGGCATATGTTATGAGTCATCTGAACTGTAAGAATGGTTCTCGTAAATATACCAAATTTAAATGTGTCATTAACTCTGTTCGTGTTAGAAACACAGGCAAATTAACCTTATAAGGGAAAATCATAGTAGTTTCAGAATCTAACTATTGACATTTAGATTATTAGAGTAATGCAAGATTTGATTGTACAAGATTTGGTTTATCAATAGCCTATTTTTCTTTGCAATTGTTTCAGATCAGAGGCAATTGTCCTCGAGTTCCCGGAGATCACAAGCTCAACAAGACGAGATCATTGGCTAGCACTTATTAAGGAAGTTATGTTAATGCACCAATTCTTATCAGAATTTAAGGTGGAGTCTCCGATACAAGAATGGGAGATGCATGCTAGGACAATATTAGGGGCTATAAGGCTTCATGCAGCAAGGGAAATGATCAGAATTTCTCCCCCTGATCCAAGAAAATTCTTAATATTTGCGTTGTTTGACGAGATTCCAAAGGGAGATTATGTGCTAGAAGAACTTGCAGAGAGCTTAAAGAGGGTTAAAACTGGACATCCTTGCAGTGCCAGCTCAATATTGAGGAGTATGAACTTGTCAGAGTCAACTCTTTCAAGTGTAGAAGTAAATGAAAATGATGAGGGAGATAGAATTGTGATGGAGAAAGATGAAAAGAAGTCGTCACTGGAAACTGCTATCGATAAATCTTGGGAAGAAGCAAAGGAGGTTGAGATTGCTAAAGCTACCACTGAGGAACTGAAAGAGGAAGGAATAAGCGAAAGTGCTGTTATTCTCATGGTAAGTAATAAATTTACTCTTCCATTATATGATTTTTCCTTATTTACCAATGATACGAAGATTTTTATAATGCGTCGAACTTTATTTTGTGTTGTAGGAATTAGTAAAGCCACTTAAAGATGCATTACCTTTGTTTCAGAAACTACTTTCATGGGAAAAGCCATTAACCACACTCTCTGCGTTTGTTCTGAGTATTATAATAATCTATAAGTAAGCGACCTAAGGTCTCCTCCTCCCGATTTCGGAAAAGAATTTGACAATCTCTTTGATTTGACAACTAATGCTTTATTTACAACATTTTAAACAATTTCAGAGAATGGGTAGGCAGGGCTATAACTGCAATTCTGTTATGGATTGTGGCAAAAATGCTTCGGGCAAGACAGGAGAGAGTTCGAGATAAATGCAATGAGATAATCGTGAGCACTGCCACGGGCCAAACTTCATTGGAGAGCATATATCTGCTCATATGGATTGATACCCTTCACGAATTGATGCAGGAAGCAAATGTAGCAATACTGAAGATGTGGTCAATATATGTTTCAAAGGCTTACAAGGTACTTCTTATGGTTTCACATTGTGGTTGCTTTCATTTTGATATTTCTTCGTGGTTTATCTTCGTTTGATAAAGCGCAACTAAGTTCGTGCTCACTTATTTTCTTCAACAAGCTGAAATATTTTATCCAGCGCAGGGGAGTAACAAGTCCCATCACTGATCTCCTTATTTTAAAAATATACATATATACGAAGTACGGATAACAAAGAACTCAAACTTGTTTGTTGCCCATTCTTTTTCGTCATTGATCTCCTTATTTTTTAAAAATATATGTATACTAAGTACGGATAACAAAGAACTCGAACTTGTTGGTTGCATAATCATTTTCACCATCGATGTGCTTGTTCTTGATTACAGCACGCGAACATGGTGATGATGGTGTTAAGTGGGTTGGCAATATTATTCGCAGTGATTCCCTTGAAGTTCATTATTATCGTTGGTGTATCCTATTTGTTCGTTATGTGGTCGAGCTTAATGAAGTCCACGGATAGCAAGCAAGCTGAACGAAGACTAAAAGAATGGTGGGATTCGATCCCGGTAATTCTTGTTCGGGTGGTATCAAACCAGATACCGGACAATCCGAAAATAGTTTGATAGTTTGTGAATAGATATGCTTGTGGCTTTGAATCCTGTTTTGGCAGATTAGTATATACGAGGATTCTGCTGCATAAAGAAATCAGTTTATCTGTTATGATTGTAGTTGATACTTAAGGAATATAGAATCTGTCACAAATATCATAATTATTATATTTGACAATTTAAACTATACTGTATTTTGATACTTTGAATATTATATGCTTTTTTATTTGAATTTTTTCTTCAATGTGAATATATATTTTTTTTAAATTCAAAAAGTATTAATAAGTTTATATCGTTAATTGGGCTGCGGATGTATAAAAAGGAAAAGTAATGGAAATGAGGAATGGTGTGTCTCAGAAGAAAAAATGTAGCTAACAAACATATGTATGTATATATAT